CTGCCCAGAAGGGAAACAGAAAGGCAACATCACTCACATCCTTTGATGTCTGGAAAGGCACATTGTCCGGATTGATCCAAAGTGAGGACAGTGAATTTATGCACAGATAGACCCTCAGCTGTGCCTATGGCAATGTCCATTGTAACTCCTGATAAGAAGATTATTTTACCACAATTAAATGTCAGACATTCTTTTGAGAGAAAAGAAAAGCTTTGGTGCCCTCCCCCAATTTGTATACACACATCCTCACCCCCTCCTTATTTTCACACTTGGATCTCTGTGCTATAGGGATGCTGCAATTTGGACTTTGCACATGCATCATTAGGCACAACTCTTTCACTGCAGAGACAATCTGTGACACATCAGATACTGTGAACTGAAAATCCCAAGATGCTTAGCCACCGTTTTTGGTGGGTACTAATAGGGGCAGCTGTAATCAAAGATAGTATCACTGTCCACTATGTGTATCTTGTTCACAGTTTCTGTTTCCTTAATAGATGGTAGATTTGCTCTTAAAGTTCCCTATATGCAACTGAGATATCCTCTCATAACACAATCAATTTCAAAATAAGGATACTAGTTTAACCCCTTAAGGACACATGCCATGTGTGACATGTCAAGATTCCCTTATATTCCAGAAGTTTGGTCCTTAAGGGGTTAAAGAAGAAAAGTTTCACTCTGACGAGTTTATACTTTCACACATTCCTGTTAATGGCATTCATCCACACCCCGCTCCCCAAAATAAACTTATTTCGCATCTGTCATGAAATTATTTGTTGTAATATGTGTCATTTGCTTTTTTTCCCTTTGTATTATGTTATATATTGATTTTGTTATATGTGTATTTGTGGCTTGTGTCTATGTAAGATAAAATTACAGTAGCCAACAAATACTCCAAAGTTTAAGTCCAAATGAAATGAATAACCTTCTGCATGCTCTGTTTCAATTCCCAAATACAGTAAGTACTGCTACTCAGTTACATACATATATATATATATATATATATATATATATATATATATAATGTGTTTCTTGTTTCTGTATCTGTATTAGGATAGCAATTCACTAGTGTTTATAGTCATGCATTATATTTTCAATGAGTATTTATGAAGTTTTAAGATGATGTAATAATCTGAACATGTATAAAACAGAAAACCATAACAAAGTGAAATACATATAGCATGTTTGAATACCTGGCTTCTAAGGTAAGGTTAGTGTGTATGGCTGGGGCTGGTATTTAGAGGTGCCAGATTTAGTTCTAGGGGTTGAATTACTGCGTAAGCGCTATGGAATCTGTTGGCGCTATATAAATGGCAATAATAATAATAGAGGGACTTATGTTTTACTTTAAGCTCCCATATCTCTGTTTCTCCCCAAATATTAAACCCCTAAACCTAACAAAGGAGTATTGGTCCAGGTAATGTCCAAAGTAACTCCATGAGCAACCAGGTAACAGTCGAATGATGCTCCATTTATATGAAATTAGTGTAAAAAAGGTTCAGCTGAAAACATGTGAGATACAGCAGCATGCTCCATGAAGTAGGTTATTGGGGTCCTCCTGTCTTGGGCAAAACCTTAGAGGTTGGGGTATAAGGGAGACCTTATATCCCTAACATTATGTACCCCCAACATCTAAAGTGTATATAACTCTTCTTTTTATTTTTTATCCCTTCTTTGGTTTTCTCAGTCACACAAAGCTCTAAGTGTTTGTCATTTAAAAAAAGAAAAACATTGTCTTGAGTTTGATTTATTTAGATTAATTTTAAAATATATTTACTATTATAAAAACACAATTTATTAGGTGCTCTGTTGGTATCTGATGCAAGGAAGTCTCAAGATGGTCCCAACATAGAACTGTTGCACTTGGAAAATAGTTAACAGAAATTGATAAAGATTGGAAAAGCATTTTAAATATCTTAATTTTAGAAATATATGATTTGACTTTATTTACTGTTTGTAGGCATTAAACTGTACTGCTAGTAATGCCTTTAGGTATCTTGACAATACCTATAAGCAAGGTATTTAACCATCTTTATTTATCTATGTTTGTCACAGCTACTGAATGTGAGAAAAAATAATTTTGTGCTTTTTATACAACATTTTGAGATCCTTTGTCAAATATTGCAAGATATAGGACAATTGTATACTTTGCCGCTTCCCTCAAGCTGGTCTTTCCCTGCGTGTAAGAAGAAAATGGTATCAAAATAAGGTAAAGTTTTATTCTTTTTATAAGCTTTTTTAAATATATGTTTTTGTAGTTTTAAAGTGAAAGATTAAATGACACATCCCTCAGATTCTAAAGTTTACCATTATTACCAAGTCTTCTAATTCCAAGGCAGTAAAATATTTGTAAAATATTTGTTTTTACTTTGTGTGCTGGCTTAGTCTGATAGGTGTTGTAGGCTCCAAATTGTGTTGGTAGTGATGTACATTGCTCTGATAAATAATGAGAGATATTTGTACAACAACCCAGTCTTACCATGGGGTACATCTCAAACAGAGTGCTTTAATAGCAAGTCCTTAGAGCAGGAGAGAACATTACTGTATAGCAGTGGAGGATTGTCCATAGGGGCTCCTGGGGCAGCGGCCCACCAGTATTATGTGGGGAAAATATTTGCAATGTATTAGAAACATTAAGATTCTTTTTATGTGGAAAGGGATTAACCTACTCTAGCCATTGCCTATATATGTGTCAAACTAAAACAAAATCTATGTATCTTTACTAATGAAATAGATTTAAGCTTTGCTGGACCCTGCACCCTTCATTGGTTAGCTACTGCAGGGTATAAACTTGAGAAACAGGATCAAGGGTAAGCTACCGTCAAAAAAAGAACCTTTACAGAGTTCTGGCGAGCGATCTTGAGATCATAGGTTGAGCTAGCATAAGGACAGATATTTTTGGTTCCAGGCACATTTTGAGCAATGTACATTGATACACATACACAAAAATAAGTCCTGCGCTCAAACTCCTACTACTCTTGGGCGGCAGCAACGACCATAGTATACATCAGCCCTAATACATACAGTAAAAAACAAAGAAATAAAGTTACCCATGCACTTCCCAAATCCCTATGTATATTTAAATAAATGGAGGTTATTTAATTACTCTAATGGCCATTAGATGCAAGCCCACCTGCCACATTCAGGCTAACCTCCTTGAGCTTCAGGCAAAGAAATCTCTAATGAGACAGAGAGGGGTATTTCTCTAAACCCCTACACACTTATTAACCCTTATTAGGGAACACATGGGGTGGGCGGCAGCATTGTAACATAGCTGTGTGATACAAAACTTTTGTATCACACACCACTTGTGCTGTTTTTGAATCTCTGTATTGCAGCTCTGTGTAATCCATCACATTCTATGGGTATCCCTGTATTAAGTTCTGTTCTGTGTATTTTATTGGTAGCTCCTTATAGTACAGAGTATGGATATCTCTGTATTGCATGGATTTCTCTGTATTGTGCTCAATTATGTTTATTGTATAGGTATCTCTGTCAGTGGTGTATTTTGAAATGGTGCTGCCATAGGCATGACAGATCTCGGGCACCCCCTAATTTAAATGCACCCTCCCCTTCCTGCCAAGGCCACACCTCTTCCTGGCAACTTACACAAATGTTGACTGACAGACACACACTCACAGACCAGCACACACTCTCAGATACACTGACATACACACTACACACACATACACTCACTGATATGACACAATCTGACACACACAATCATTAAGACACAAACTGACAGACGCATGCACTTACTGACAGACACACACAATCACTCAGACACACACACTGACAGACACACACACTGACAGACACACACACTAACTGACAGACACACACACTCACTCAAATTCACTGACACACATACTCACTCACATTCACTGACACACTCACATTCACTGACACACACACACACACACTCACATTCAATGACACACACACACACTCACATTCACTGAAACACACACACACACACACACACACACACATACACACACACACACACACACACTCACTCACATTAACTGACACACACTCACTCACTCACTTCCTCACATTCACTGACACACAGTCACATCCACTGACACACACACATTTCCCCCCAACACTCACATTTATTATTATTTTTTTTTCAAATTTAAATCTACCCAGCCTACCTAATTTTGTGATAGCTTGGTGGATTTTTTACCTGGGGTCCAGGGGGGCTGCTGGGCAGGAAGGTGCTCTAAGTTTTCAGTGAGGGAGCTGTGATCTCTCTGCAAAGACTCCCTTGTGCATCGCAGAGTGATGCCGGGAGCTGGACTGACGTCATATTCTGGCTTCCGGAATCACTGCAGGTCATGTGAGGGAGCTGAGCAGAGAGAGCTCAGGGGAAAGTGCTCCTTCGCCACCCGCCTGGGAAACAACTGGCCGCCTGTCCCGGGGGAGCCCAAAGGTGGCCAGCCGGCCAGCTCTTGGGCCCTCATAAAACAAGGCATTAGCCTGGGCATTTGGGGGCAGAATTTTTGCCGCCACCTGGAAATTGCCGCCCAAGGCAAATACCTTTTTTGCCTCGCGATAGATAAATCCCTAGTATCTGTATTGTTCCTAGCTTTGACTATTGCGTGGATATCCTTATATTACAGTATTGTATGGGTAACCTTTTATCTGTTACTATTAAGTGTTGAGTACATGAGGTTAATGGACAGATGCCAGACGATGGCTACAGAGATAAAGGGTGGAGTCAAATTCTGGGGGAGGAGTTTGGCACCCCACCATCTCAAAACATCACCAGCCATCACTGCTGTACAGAATTTATCTTGAGTGACAGTCTATAATGTAGCAAACATAGTGGAACTCTACAAACTAGGATGTAGATCTTTCCTAAACCTCTAGACATTTATAAACCTATTGTGTCCTTGATTGGTCGTGTTATCTGTCTTCAGACTCTGTATAGACAGTCACCAAAACGCAAAAGAACTTATTGATTTGGATGATGTTGCCACCATCCAGATCTAAAGTTCCTTAAGTGAGTGCAGCGCTATATAAGTGCTGAGTAAGTGTAAGTGTGTTATCGGAACACACTTACTCAGCACTTATATAGCGCTGCGCTCACTTAAGGAACTTTAGATCTGGATGGTGGCAACATCATCCAAATCAATAAGTTCTTTTGCGTTTTGGTGATTGTTTATGTGTGGTGGGCAATTAGGAGTACCCACAGAGTGTATACAGCAGCTGTACCATATCTTCTTCTATTTCATAATACTAAGCGCCATTTATTCCACACTTTTTCGTGTACATTCAATTTCTGTATAGACAGTGTATGAAATAAATATAGATTTGATTATAATCTTTAGCTTTCATAATTGACTCAATTTTGAAGGGTAACCTGAATGGAGAGGGATACCAGGAAGAACTAAACTAAGTAAATGGAGGGACAACAAAATGAAGAGGTAATTTAAGAGGTACTCAAGGGAAACAAATGTAAGGGATTTAAAATCAAACTGATCACTAAGACCTGAAGGTGCTATAGAAATATAAATATTATTTTTCCTAAAATGGTTATAGAATCAGCCATGCTACATCCAAGACTAGATAAATATTTGGTGAGTTTTAGTAAAACATGTTACTGTTTTATTGTGTGCATACATGTGTGCAATAACTTTCACTATTACTCATCTGGAGTAAATTCCATGGTAAAAGGTTCAATAAGTTATGTTCTTTTTCTGGACAAGAGCTAATGGAGGGAGCAGGAGCCACGTTGAAGACCTTGATTAATACATCAATTATAACCCTTTGATCCATGTCGTATGTGTGTATCTCCTAATATACTGTGCACTTTAGTTTTGTGCATACAGCACAGTGGTCCAACTATTAGAGCTGTACATTTTCTTAATATATATTATGGTCAGTTTTTATTTATTGCATGTTTATTTAGTTTTTACTAACTCACTCGAGTTATATGACTTTAAATAGTTGAATTAAGATTAATTTTAAAGTACATACTTAATTTGTAAGAAACATGAAACATTTTTTCATACTGGGTTCACACAAGAGTCACTGGCCTTTTAGCGGCTTCCATTCAGGCAATTTTTCCAGAACCCCTACAATATCGTGCACTACAATGTCTGAAAGGATCTTACCTTCGATCCGGACACTCTTACAAATTGTGGTTTGCCCTAGACGTGGAATCAAGAGAGGAGCTAAATTGGTGGCTCATCCACATGGAAGCGTGGAACGACCGGGCAATTTTTGGATCAGTCCCAGACACAGTGATGGGATTGGATGCCAGCTTACACAGCTGGGGAGCACGTTGTGGCAACATCTCCACCGGTGGCAGATGATACGAGGGTGAGGCCTTGCTGCATATAAGCTGTCTGGAATTACTGGCGGGTACTTTTGTTATTCGCAGTCTCACACCCAAAAACGCAACCTGTTCTTTGATACTCAAGATGGACAATGTATCGGCGGTAAGATACCTTAACCATCTAGGTGGAACAAAGTTAAAGATTCTAACGAACCTTGCCAAGGTTTTTTGGAAATTCTGCATGAAATGTCAGTCACAGTGGAACATATCCTGGGTTGACAACTCCTGGCCGGATTGGAATTCCAGATATCTGCAGGATTCTGGAGACTGGCACTTGCACGCTTCAGTGTTCTAAAGGATCCAACAACTGTGGGGACCATTGGACATAGACCTGTTCACGTCCAGGCTGAGCAGCCAAATACATCGGTTCTACAACTGGAGACTGGACCCTGCTTCCTTGGCGACAGACTCTTTTGTTCAGGATTTACTAGGCATGTGCATGGGGAAAATTTTCGGTTTGGTTCGGCATTCCGAAATTCGGGACTTCGGCAATTCGGCACTTCATCACTTTGGAACTTCGGCAACTTCGGCAACTTCGGAACTTCAGCACTTCGATACTTCGGAAATTCGGCAACTTCAGAATTTCGGAACTTCAGCATTTCGAAACTTCGGCATTTCGGAATTTCGGGACTTCGGCACTTCAGGACTTCTCTTGCAGCCGCTTAGTAGATAACTCCCTACTTCCCGCGAGTAGGGGCATGTCTATTAAACAGTGAGCAGCCTGTCTCTCCCCCCTGGCCCACACCCCTGAGCGGTGGGTGGGGGCCTAAATACTAATAAGGGGGAGGTACCTAATGTCCTCCCCTCGGCCCCCATTCCTGAGCGGCGGGTGGGGGCCCTAAATTGGAATAAGGGAGGGACCTAATGTCCTCCCACCTGGCCCCCACCCCTGAGCGGCGGGTGGGGGCCCTAAATAAAAATGTTACCCCCCCAGATGACTAGGGGTCCCCAAACCCCTAGTCACCCCCCCAAAAAAAGAAAATTAACCCCTTCCTATCCCCATACCCTAAAAATAATGAGGGGGGGACTTTTAACTAAGTACCTGTAAAAAAAATAAAACTTACCATTCAATGTTTTCTTTCTTCTAAAGTCTTCTTTTTTAAGCCCCAAAAAAGGCCAAATACAAAATCCATAATAACGGACGCACTTAAAAAATAAAAAAGAGCGCAAAAAAATAATAATCCATCTTCACCTGGCGAGGGCTCCACGCAGACTGAGCTTTGCAGGGCAGGGGAAGGCTTATAAAGCCTTGCCCCGCCCTGCAATTAGGCTCAGAGCACTCTGATTGGTGGGTTTAAGCCATCCAATCAGAGTGTTCTGACAGGTAAATGAAGAGACTAACAGGTAAGTCTCTACATTTACCTGTCACAGCACTCTGATTGGTTGGCTTAAAATCTACCAATCAGAGTGCTCTGTGTCATTTTACACAGCGTGGGAAAGTTCTTTGGAATTTTCCCACGCTGTGTAATTTGACTCATAACTCTCTGATTGGTTAATTGATTTACCAGTCTCTTCATTTACCTGTCAGAGCACCAATCAAAGTGCTCTAAGCCTAATTGCAGGGCGGGGCAAGGCTTTAAAAGCCTTGCCCCATCCTGCAGAGCTCAGTCTGCGCGGAGCCCTTGTCGGGTGAAGATGGATTTTTTTTTTGTGCTAGTTTTTTTTCTTTTTTTTCTTTAAGTGCGTCGGTTATTATGGATTTTTGAATTGGCCTTTTTTGGGGCTTAAAAAAGAAGATTTTAGAAGAAAGAAAACATTGAATGGTAAGTTTTATTTTTCTTACAGGTACTTAGTTAAAGGTCCCGCCCTCATTATATTTAGGGTGAGAGGGTTAGGTAGGGGGTTAATTTTTTTTTTTGGGGGGGGAAAGGTTGACTAGAGGTTTGGGGACCCCTAGTCACCTGGGGGGGTAACATTTTTATTTAGGGCCCCCACCCGCCGCTCAGGGGTGGAGGCCGGGGGGAGGACAATAGGTCCCCCCATATTGGTATTTAGGGTCCCCACCTGCCGCACAGGGGTGGAGGCCGGGGGGAGGACAATAGGTCCCCCCATATTGGTATTTAGGGTCCCCACTTGCCGCACAGGGGTGGGGGCCAGGCTGAGGACCTTAGGTCCCCCCCTTATTAGTATTTAGGGCCCCCACCCGCCGCTCAGGGGTGGGGGCCAGGGGGGAGGACATTAGGTCCCTTATTTTACTGTTGGGCCCACACCCGCCGCTCAGGGGTGGGGACCAGGGGGAGGACATTAGGCCCCCCCTTATTCCAATTTAGGGCCCCCACCCGCTGCTCAGGTCCCCCCCCCTTATTTTACTGTAGGGCCCCCACCCACCGCTCAGGGGTGGGGGCCAGGGGGGAGGACATTAGGTCCCCCCCTTATTTTACTCTAGGGCCCCCATCCGCCGTTCAGGGGTGGGGGCTCGGGAGGGCCATAGGCTGCTCACTGTTTAATAGACATGCCCCTACTCACAGTATAGCGAGTTGGAGCATAATTTACTAATACTAAGTTATCTTTACTTAGTATTAGTAAATTTGGCTGAAAGACCAATTTAGGTCTTTCAGCCTTTTAGTAGATAGCTCCCTAATACCGTGGGAATTAGGGAGTTATCTACTTATTCATTCCCGTCATTACACTGACACACTAAGTAACTTACATTTTATATGAATGTGTGTTACTTGATTGTTTTAAGTGTTGCAAATGCTTACGACTGAATCCTGGCTATGTTTGTATACTTTTTATTTAAAATTGTATACAGTGTAACATTCTACATTCTTCCACTGGGTAAGTATATTAGTTCTTAGGCAATACTATGCTTCGGCGCTTCGGCACTTTGACACTTCGGAATTTCGGCAACTTCTGAACTTCGGCACTTCAGCACTTCGGAACTTCGGCACTTCAGCAATTCGACACTTCAGAAATTCTGTAATTTCGGAATTTCGGGACTTCAACCATTCGGCAATTTGGCAATTCATCTATTCGGACATTCTGAAGTACCTGAATGTCCGAATTGCCCAAAATTCGTCCGAATTCACATTTGGACCGAAACCAATTGCACATGTCTAGCCTTTACCCTGTTCAATCTGATTCCTCAAACGCTGTTGAAACTGCACAGACACAACTGTTCATTGGTGATGGTCACCCCGCTGTGGAGGTCACAACCATGGTTTCCTCTTTTGATGGAAATATCAGTGGATTATCCACAATTGAAACCAAACTGGCCATCTCTCCTTCTGGATCCAGACAGGAGATCTCACGAATTAGTGGAGCAGGACCTCCTTCAACTTATTGTGTGGCTACTTTTCGGGGACCCTGTATGATCCTGAATGTTTCACAGTCGACTCTCCATCTCCTTGAAAAAGCATGGGCTCCAAGCACTAGTTATGCCTATAAGACAGAATGGAAATCATGGTCTAGTTGGTGCATGGAACGATCAGTGGATCCCATATCTACTCTTTTAAATTTGATTCTGCAATTCCTTACATTTCTCTTAGAATCGGGTAAGGCCTACCATACCATCAATCTGTTCAGACCGGCCATTTCGGCAGGTCATCATGGCATTGATGGTTCTCCAGTTGGTCGACATCCTTACGTCTGTCATCTACTCAATGGGATTCGACTGTCTAGGCCTCCTTGAGCTAAATATTGTGTTTTTTGGGATGTCAATATCGTTTTACAATTTCTAATTGTCGACTAAGTTGCTGATGCTGTTTTGTCTAGTATCGTGTAAACGAGTTTTGGACATACGAACTCTGGATTGAAATATAG